GCCATGTTATACACAAAATGTCACAGTCTTCACTACCTCCTCATCTATGCTCTTCTGTATCTGGGGAGGAGAACATGGTTTATGCTGTAACTTTTTTGCGGGGCAGGGGGGTGCCAGGGATTGAACCAAGGGGTACTTTACCACTGAGCCACATCTTCAGTCCTATTTTGTATTTTATTTAGATACAGGGTCTCACTGATTTGCTAAGCACCTTGCCATTGCCATGGCTGGCTTTGAACTCGCGATCCTCCTGTCTCAGCCTCCCAAGCTGCTGGGATTACAGGCATACACCACCGCGCCTGGCTATGCTGTGATTTTATGTATATCTTCCATGTCTTTAACCCAACTCTGTTATAATGTAGACTGTAGAGAACTATTGGCTAATCTGCCTTTATAAGCCTGGTCTGTGACTTTACCATCCTCTTATAAGTTGTTTCATCATCATGCATTGATTAATTCTTTTTTTTTCTTTAAATATTTTTTAGTTGTTGATAGAACATTATTATTCATTTATTTATATGTAGTGCTGATAATCAAACCCAGTGCCTCACACCTGCAAGGCAAGCGCTCTACCACTGAGCCACAACTCTAGGCCTTAACTGCATAAGGGTGAATACTTTGCTTGGTACTCCAGGATCACTATAATCTGCTGCTGTATAAGTTTGGTTTTTTCATCCACCAAATAACCAAATGCTCTAATGTGGCCTACAAAATTACCCAACGTTTCTTATCACAACCTGCCTGCTGCCTTATTTGTTGTATTTGGTTTCAGAGATTCAACCCAGGTCTGATAAAATTAGGAAGACATCTTCGGAAGCTCATGAGAATTCTGGCTTTGAATCTTTATTTCATTTATTTATTAAGTATGTAATCTTGAGCAAGTCTTTGCCTATTTAATGACTTAATTTTGAGACTCAAAATTAATCAACTACGAAGAATTATTAGCATTGGACTTTTAATTTATAGGAAAGATAAAGTAAAATGTTTATTCTTGGAATATTTTAATAGAAGTTTACTGCCAGATTTTTTTAAATCAGCTGAAACATTTTTATATCAGTAGGAATTTTTACACTTAGTATTGCTCTGTGACTTAGGTAATTATCTGAATACTATTTCAAAAACCTTTGAAGCAAAAAATGTTCATGATAAAAAATTAAACCTTTTGCACTAAAAGAATTCTTACCTGTTGAAGCACTATCAACAAAAGCCTGGAAAAATTTCATTTATTTCAAAAATATTTCTTATCTATACTGCATAGAAGCTATTTGGCCTTAAAAGGGACACTCACTAGTGATTTCAGAAGGGCTTTATCCCTCTGTGCCACGATAGGTATCCTAAAGTCTTGAGGTAGTAAGTACTTACTATATTATGGAATAAACAGAAGTGAAGGGAGATTATTTTAACTCCATATCATGTACAACAAGAAGAATGGGAAGTTATACTTTACATATGTATGATATGTCAAAATACATTCGACTGTCATTTATAACTAAAAAGAATAAATAAAAAATGAAAAATAGGAAAAAAGGAAGTGTAAGGAGCATTTCACTAATGAACAAAGCATTTGACCTATGTCCTTGCCTGTGACATTCACCAGCTGTGTGACCTCGAACAGATTTTTAACCTTTCTTATGTAGCTCTGTCATCCCACCCAGCAGAAATTTCTCATCAGTTTATAAATAGTGTGATTTCTCTTATGCAACTGGTTGGTTTTTTATCTTAAAGCCATTGTAAATCCACACAGTGAGCAGGTTATCTTGATTCATGTTGGCTCCCTAAGAATTTAGATAAAATTTAGCCCATCTCCAACAGATGTGTAAAATTTTATGGCATTCATTTATTATCTTAATCTTATTCCTGGTTCTTTCTAATCTCCTTAGGCTTATTTTTCTCTTTAGCTTTATTTTTCTTACTTACATTTTATTTATTTTATTTTGTATTACTTTAATCTGTGAAAGTTTTCTTGAATTCTTCCTGGAAGAACATGGGGCCACGGACATTCAACAAAATAAATAATGCCTACTTCTCAGAGATGTTGTAACATACATAATGACTGATAAATACACTAATAATTTTTTATTAAATCACAGATATTTGTTATACCTGCTTTGAAGAAAAGGTTTAAATAGTTTGTTTTTGAAGGGAAGACAAAGTTTCAGAAGAGTAGATGGCCTACTGCCGTATGTCTACAAGTTTTCTGTGATTTATATAAAAGTAAATAAGAGCCAGGCACAATGGTGCATGCCTGTGATCCCAATGGCTCTCCTGAGGCAGGAAGATTAAAAGTTCAAAGCCAACCTCAGCAGTTTAGCCAGGCACTAAATAACTCAGTGAGACCCTATCTCTAAATAAAATATAAAAAAAGAAGGGGCTAGGGATGAGACTCAGTGGTTAAGTACCCCTGAGTTCAATCCCTGGCACCAAAAAAAAGAAAAGATAAATGAGGGTATCTAGGAGATTCTTTTCCTTTTAGCCTTAACCATGGTAAATTACTCATGTTACTCCTCTATAAAGGCATCCGTCCATCTTTTACACAGCCTACAACCACTTTGTGTTCACAGGATTTTGATTATTAGTGGGGTTTTCTGATAATATAGTATGTGTTGTAAAAGATGTTATATAGAACAGTTTTTCTGGTTTCAGTTGTATATTTAAATGAACTAGATACAGACGATGAAAATAGATGTTTTCCATCTTCTTATAATTTTTCTAATTATTTACATTTAACAAGTCTTAAATTTTAAAAGAAAATCATATTTAACTAATGTAAATTGCTCCCTGAACTCAGAATTCAAATATGGTCACAATTTGAGCTTCTTGGTTTGGTTTGGTTTTGTTTTTTAATCACTCAAACATCCATTTGCTTTATTAGCAGAGAGTATAACATTTTCCTTTTGGATTTTTTTTACTTCCCCTGAATTGTCCCAAGAACTTCAGCAGCTTGATCAGTGGAACCTATGTCCCAAGATGTGGTATATGTTGTGTATGTGTGCCTTTGTGTGTATGGGAGAGACACTAAAGTCTGTGCAGCCCACCATTCCTACTACATTTCCTTGTCACATGGTGAAGGTGTTGAAGACTGGCTTCATATTGACAACAGAAGCTGTAGGTTCCCTGTTGACCCAGATGCCCCTACAGGCCAACATGATGCCTCAAGGAAGGATGACCTTCTTCCTGGGCTAAATCAGTTAAGATGTCCTATGGTCCCATAATTGAGCTCCCAAAATTGAAGCTATAAGCACCCAGCTCATTCAGTTCTCATCACAAATAACTCTCAACTGTTTTGCTAAGAGAAGCACAAACACTGAGCCAGACCTGGTCCCCTAACATCTATCATCTCCTAGCCTTAAAACCACATTTCCTCTTCCCACCACAGGATGCTGTACTATTATTTAAAGAAAGAAAATCCCTGGACCTCTGGGCTATTAACCATCCTTTAGCATATCTACATCTAAGCGGGAACTCCCGAGAGATCTTACTCCCCCATCCCCTGTAAGGAAGAGTACTTATCACCGAACTCAAAAGAGATCCACCCTTCTTTTTTTTTTTTTAACATTTTTTTAAGAAGTAGTTGGACACAATATCTTTATTTTATTTATTTATTTTTATGTGGTGCTGAGGATCAAACCCAGGGCCTCACACGTGCTAGACGAGCGCTCTACCACTGAGCCACAATCCCAACCCAGAGATCCACCCTTCTAAAGAGATTTCCACAGCAATCTCCAAGGAGCTCCTATGTATCCCTCTTGGAGGTGGTTATTCCAAAGTAATTCTCTTTCTTCTCCCTCTTAGGTGAAGAGGAAAGAAACTGAATTTAATTTCTGGCCAAGCATCCTGCTATACACATAATTAATCTTAAATGGAAGAACAAGGTTTAAGTGATTTATGTTGCAAGAGCTTTCATGTTTAAAAATGAATGAAATAGACTTGAGCTAATCTCAAATAGAAGAGCAGGGTTTAAGTGATTTATGTTGCAAGAGCCTTCATGTTTAAAATGAATGAAATAGATATGAGCAAGAGAACAAATGACAATTTAATAAAATAAATATTGGTTGGGTGTGATGGAAAGACAAAATGAACTATTTCAACAAATGTGAAGAATTGGGAATTTTATGTGATAAATCATATTAACAATTCATTGAGTTACTGGAATAGAGGTATTTCTTAATGTTCAGGATTTGGATTTATATAAACAGTTTGTGCCACCCCACCCCACTCCCCCTCCCCAAAGAAAATACAGCTCCAGAATAGGAAAATATGGAACCCAGAATTGGAAAGAAGTGTAATTTCTCTAGGACAGTATTATAAAAGGGAAGTAATTCATCCTCAGTTCTTCTTACTAGTTTATATTGAGTTTATGGAGCTAAGGAATTGCCATGGAAATCTTAAAATGGAAACCACAATTTAGTATGTCTTACTGAAAACTTCTGCTGTGAATCACTGTTTTCAGTGAAGCCCCATTCAAATAGGGACTGACTAACTTAGATGACAAAGCTGCTAAGTAAGAAATGGTCTCTTTATATTGGTTTACACCTGGTGCTTAAGTTGCATATTAATTAATAACAGTTGTTTTATCTATATTTGTCTAGTGCAGATATTAAAATGTTTCCTTTTCTTTGAGATTAAGAATGTCTAGGCTGGGGATATAACTCAAGTGGTAGCGCACTCGCCTGGCATGCGTGAGGCCCGGGTTCAGTCCTCAGCACCACATACAAAAAAAACAAAAGATGTTGTGTCCACCAAGAACTAAAAAATAAATATTAAAAAAATTCAAAAAAAACGAATGTCTAATGATTTTTTCCTCCCCTAAAAGCAAGTTTCTTGCTTCCTCTAATGTTTTACTATTTTATGTTTTTATTTGTTTATAAATAGTGTAGGTAAAGTTATTCAAAGGAGGAGTAGAGGAGAGGATAATTCATTATATCAGAGCAAGTTTGGGTCATTCTGCTGCAAGTGAGATATGTATATATATGCTCAGTGGTTATTTTTGTGTATTACAGGCTTTTCGGGAAGACCTGGAATGCCTTATTCAAGAACAGATGAAGAAAGGCCACAACCCAACTGGATTACTAGCGTTACAACAGATTGCAGATTATATCATGACCAATTCTTTCTCAGGATTTTCTTCACCTCCCCTCAGTATGTCAGTTTTGGAGAGTTTTAAAAATTACAATTTTATTTCTACTTTGAAACAGTGTACATGTCTAGCAGCATATTCTGCTCAGGTTCAGTCCTTAAAGTTTATAGCATCTTAATACTTAAGAGTAGCATAGTGTCAAAATCTTTTTTCACATCTGTCAGGCACTTAATAGACTTTGAAGATTACAAAATAGCTATAAGACATGGTTCCCTGCCCCAGATAAATATATTTTAATTAATACTGCAAGATAACTATAAGGAAAAAATTACAAAGCAGTCATAAGGAATTGTCTAATGAGGTTTCATGAGTCACCAAGCTGTGAGCTCAGAGTTGGAAGGGATTACTGGCTGGAGGAGATTGAAAAGACTTGGTGGGAGAAGAGAGACCTTAGCTAACCAGACTTTAAAGTATACAATAGTTAGAAAGAAGGGTCTGGGCATTTTCTTCATTCAGTATAGCTCTTTAATGAGAGCAACAATTTGTGAACTTAACAGTGTCGGGGTACTAAGAATCATAAGGTACTAAGTTCCAGAACTGTACATATCAGCTGTGATGCTCTAGTGCAAGGGCAGGTACACAGAGTACAGAGAGAACTGCCAGCAGCTGCTTTAGGTTAGACTCAAGAGATGAGGGACTTTTTCCTTTCTATTTTTTCCTTTTCTTTTGTTTGTTGTCCCTTTCTCCTTTCTTTCCTTTTTTGTTAGAGATTTGTGAGTAGGATTTCAAGTATTTTCCAAATAAAGGAAACAGTGTAAAGAGACATGCAGTGGTGGGAACATGCAAGGTGAGAGCATAGTTGTAGTACTTCAAGTAGACCATTGTGTTGGTGCAACAGAGTCCTGGTGTGGAAGCATAGGGAGAAGAGTTGGTCTTGGACTAAGAAGGGCTACCAGCATGGAAAGAGGAAAGCATTATGAAGAGAGACTTGCTAGGTGATAACTTAGATGAGTACCAGGAAATGAAAGAAACTGAAGTCAGGAAGATCAGTTATTAAAGATTCTTTGAAAGAATCCCAGTGTGAGATATACTGACCTATTAGAGGAGTGGTCATAGGCCTAAAGGGAAGAACCAATGAGAAATGCAAGTCCAACGCAGAACAGAGAGGACTGCTGTGTTTGGGGAGGGGAAGAATGATGAGTTCCCTAGTGACTGTGTTTTCTAACTTTGGAGAAATATCCTACAGCAGAAACAGCAACTCAAAAGCTGAGGCAGGCTGGGTGTGGTGGCACATGTCTGCATTTCCAGTGACTGGGGAGGCACAGGCAGGAGAATTCAAATTAGGCCTTTATTGAGGCCCAAAGCAACTTAGACCCTATCTCATAATTTAAAAAATAAAATAAAAAGGGGTGGATGTGACTCAGAAGTTAAGTGCCCTGGGTTCAATCACCAGTACAAAAAAAAAAAAGTTAGTTTGGTTCACACTTTCTATAATATTATCTGTGCCAAGCACCATTTCTAGTTACCAGGGAGTGCACTGATCAACAATATAGACAAGATTCCTTTTGTCAAAGAGACAGAAGATAAACTAAATAAGATGATCAGAGAATAGGGAGTGCTATGCAATATGGTCAGTGTGACAGAGAGCATCTAGATGGATATGTTGATTGCGTCATCAGAGAATACTCTGTAAAGGTGACATTGAAACTGAAATCTGAATAGCAAAAAGGAGTGGACCATGCCAAAAATGGAGAAACTAGTACAGGAGCCACGTGAGGAAAACGTGGGAATGAGTTTGGCCTCTTCAAAGAATAAAAATAAAGACAATGGTCTAGAGCATGGTTTTCAAGGTGCCACAGTAGAACAAAGTCAGATCAGAAACACAGGGCCAGATCATCTTAAAATATGGTTTTATATATGATTGGATATAAATTATATTATAATCTAATTTAGTCCTAGCTCTGATGGGAAGCCCTTTTAAACAGAAAGATGCTTTTAAAGACCACTGATATATTCTGCGGGAAAAATGGACTGGGAGATTTGATAATATTGTTAACAAAAATAGGAAAGTTGAGGGCTAGGTTGATAGAGTGCTTGCCTCACATGTACAAGGCCCTGGGTTCAATCCCCAGCACCACAAAAAAAAAAAAAAAAAAAAAAAGGAAGGAAGGAAGAAAGAAAGAAAAATCCCAGAGTTGGTGATCTAGTTTGGCTTTGGAAATGGAGGAAGTTCAAATTTGGGCCTGCTCAATTTGAGTTGCCAAGATCCCGTAGCAGTCAGAAATGCAGTGTGAGAGCTTGAGAGAGAGATTTGGCAGATGGACATAGAGCAGTGTCACTCAAAGCTGTGGGCATTAATTAAATAATTGTACAAGAAGGCATAGGCAGAAAACAAGAGTCCAAGGAGAAAATTTCATAAGTTCTAAGAGGAGACTAGTCGGGAAAAATAGAAATAATAAGAGAAGTGTCCTGTGAGTGTCCTAGATTCCATGGCAGAAACACAGAGCTGCAGGGGTTTTGGCTGGCTGGCTGGAATGTACAAAGGATGGCAGCAGGAAAACTATGCCCTAGTGTTCAGAGGTCAGGAAGTAGAAATTGACCAGTGTGCCTGGAATATTTATGTGGTGGCCTACAAAATGGAAATTAAATTGGAAGGGTAGGTAGAGAGTAGGAGGTAGGATAATGGCTAACTCTAAAATTTCAGAAATGTCATTATTTTGTATGACTTATATATGATTGAATCTATTTCTTTGATTTAGTTTGCAACATTTCAAAATTAGAAGATTTCACATTTGAGACTTCTCTTTAAAAGTTCTTACTGGTCTCACATTCTCAGGTTAAATGTAGTACGTAAGGAAGCTAAGTCTGATGGTTCTATGCAGAATGGATTTATAGAGAAGGGCAGGGACAAAAATGGGAGGGCTTATTGTAGGAGTCCGTGTGTGAGTGAAGGTCTGAACTCAGGTATGGTAAGTGAGGGACCTTGTGAAGAAAAGAATGATAGAAGATAATGACAAATTACCTGTGGTGTCCCACAGGTAAAGGTCACTCAGGGTTTGAGCCTATAAGTATTGTAATGCCATTGGTATTAGAATACTAAAGAGAAAAGGTAAGAAAAATAAGAGAAAAATAATGTAAAAATACTTTCAAATTCTTTTAATTTTTAAGTTATTGTGTTGCAAGAAGTTAGAAATAGCAGGCTAAAGAATGAGGAGGAGGACCTGGTCAGAGATGAAGATCAGAGTGTCATTTACACTCATATGGTGGGGAGGCTTGGGGGTGTATAATGTTTTCATAGAGAAAAGTAAAATAAGAAGGGAACATAATGGAAACGTGAATTTTGAGAAAGAACTACAGTCAGAGGAAGAAGGGGGAAGAGAACTTGTTGAAGAGGAAGAGAAGCAGGTAGAAAGGGGACAAGAGATCTAGGACCGCATTATTCAGGCCTGGGGAAGAATACTAGGGAAAAGGCCATGGGAAATGGTGTCAAGCTATAAAGAGGTCAAGGAGAATGAAAGCTAAGCAAAAGTTGAACTTTGAACATGGCATTTGGATTGTTAGAGACCTTCAAAACGACAGAAGCCAAACTATTATTTGTATATATTCTTTCTATATCAAATGTTTTCTTATGTTTGAGTAAAAGTCAAAAGAGATACGAGAAAAGTATTTTTCTGGCTGGCTGGAATGTACAAAGGATGACAGCAGGAAAGCTTGCCCTAGTGTTCAGAGGTCAGGAAGTAGAAATTCTTTACATTGTAGGTCTTTTCATTGTAAAATTTGAAGTAACCTGTTATTAAACTTTCACCTTTGAGGTCTGTAACCATTTTCTCAAGTGATGTGACCCTTTGCTATGGTCATTTCCAAACAAGTATTAATAAAGCACCTTTTACCAAGCAATCACAGAAGGTAGCTGATACTTATTTTTATTCTCAGTACATGTTTCTGAAAGCTAATAAAACATTGTATGGACTAATAAACTTCCGATTATTTACAAGACTCAGTAGAATATTCCAAGTTATTTTCTGGCATCTAATTTTCAGGTAAGAAATTATTTGACTTGAGTCTCTCACCACAATTTTTTTTCTTTTAGGTCTTGGTATGGTCACACCCATCAATGACCTTCCTGGTGCAGATACATCCTCCTATGTGAAGGGAGAAAAACTTACTCGTTGTAAACTTGCCGGCCTATACAGACTTGCAGATTTGTTTGGATGGGCACACCTGGCAAATACGTACATCTCAGTAAGTTCTTTAGTCTTTCTTTCTTTCTTTTTTTTAATAAAATTCCAACTAAAAGGCAACTGTGCTCTCCATGACTTGGAAGTCCAGTTTTCAAACTTTATTTTCTGAACCCAGCATACTAGATGACAACCTCATGCTTATTTAAACCTTATCTCCCAGGGAAAGCCTGCAATCCCAAGCAATCTCCCTTTACTATGTTATTCCTTTGATGTAGAGCAGTTGTAGAACCTATTCAGAAAGACACCATATGTTAGAATTGTCTCTCTCCATGCTAATTATATATAAGCATCAGTGGCATTGAAAAGCATTTGGGGCAAGGAAAACAAATTGGCCAGGGAACTTTCCTCCCTGGTTTTTATTTTGTTAAATATGTTTTTCCTGTTCACCATCATCTTGTTTTTACTTTGCCACATTTGGAACCAAGACAGTATTTGGAGTGAAAAAAGTATTAAAATATTGTCTGATGGACATGGAATAGACATGGTACAGTTTTCCAACAACCTTTCTTCCTTTTCCTCTGGCCATTCATTAGTTTCCCTTTTCCATCTCCACCTTAATTCCTTCTGAAGAAGAAATCTTGTTGTCTTTCCTACCCTTTCCCCCCTAATTTCCGTATTGCAAATTAAGGTTATAATCATTACCACATTGGGTTGGATAATGTCGGCATTTATTTTTTATGAATATAACTGACCCTAAACAAATTTAGAACCCCAAAGTAACACTATAGGTAAGCCCAGTAAATGGGAAAATCATGTCAGAATCTTTTAGTAAGTTCTAGAGAGTTGAGAGAAACTTAAGGAAACTTTCATGTTGCAGACCTGGAATTTTTGTTTTATTTTTTTTTTCCAAATACCATATAATTATTTATCCAAAATATATTTCTGGTCACACTTACACTGCAAAATAAGAATGCCTTAGAGTAAGTTTTTCTTGTTTTTTTTTTTCTTTCTTCCAGGTAAGAATAAGTAAGGAGCAAGACCATATTATAATAATTCCCAGAGGCCTATCTTTTTCAGAAGCCACAGCCTCCAATTTGGTATAATTTTTATTCCTATGTTACTTTTCCTGAGTTCCCTTATGCTTTCTGACAGTTTTTACCTTTTGGACAGGATGGAACAAGAAAATGGTATGAATGGAGAAACGTTTACTAGTGAATAGTGAGGGTTTGGAAAATTACGTGGTGGAGGAATTATTAGTTAACCCATGCATGTTTGGAGGGAATCTCAGGAAATTTTTCTATCCTGTACATTCTGGAATTATGTTTTTTAAACATAACACACAGTCTATGTGTATTCTGTAATGACATTTAAACAGTTGAAGTGGTGTGAGTGAAGGATTCAACCGAGCATTTTCTTCTTATTGTGATTGTATTCCTAGCCACTATCATCAGCTCATAGAACAGCTGGAGCTACACTGATTCTGGGTGATGCAGTGTCAGTAAATTCAAGTCCTTTAGCCAATTCAGTAAATGTAGATTTGACCAAACCTCTGGTGAAGGCCTTAGGTTAGTTTCTTGAAAACTGTACTTCTTGCTAAATACTAAGTTGTGTTGCAGATTACCAGCTTTATAAATAAAGTGTTAGGAGAGCAAAACTATACATTCTTTTACAAATCCTTTCTGACTTCCTTTTTACTCTAATGATGGAGTTGAGGAGTTGCAACAGAGGCCCACAAAGTCTACAGTATTTACGACCTGGCCTTTTACCAAAAAGTTTGCCACTCCCTGGATTAGCTTTTGGAACACAAACTTTGATACATATATGTTAATTAAATAATGTCTTTGTAATTTTTCCAGGTAAAAGTCAATATAATTGGAGAAGTGGTTGACCAGGGAAGCACTAACCTGAAAATTGACCATACAGGATTCAGTCCCCATGCTGCCATCTATTCAACACGTCCTGATGTTAAATGTGTGATACACATCCATACCCTTGCTACTGCAGCTGTAAGTCAGTGAAGGGCCAAAACCAATGACTCTAGAAAATGTATTTTCCATGACTTTCCCAAACCAATGCTATACTTTCTACATTTCTTTAGACTCTGCCATTCAAAATCATATTTGAAATATTCATCTTCTGCATACCCAGAAAGCAAAAGTCTGTTGGGATCAAGTGCTACTGTTCTGGGGGGAAAAAAAAAAACAGAGAGAGAGAGCATTTGGATTTTAAAACTAATCAGTAATAATTGGGTTATTGAGGTACTTTAGAGCTAAGTTGTTCCATAATATTTGACACATCATTTAAATTGAGTTGTATCCCCTGTGTCGTTTTGGGATGGGTTGCAGTGGTGAACATAATGAATAGACCAGTGCTTTATAAGCTGCCTAAATAATCAGATTTCTATGAAAATATATGTAGTAACTAAATGTGTTATCTTGGTTTGGTCCCAATCAAATAGGTCTCCTCCATGAAGTGTGGGATCCTTCCAATTTCTCAAGAGTCCCTTATCCTGGGAGATGTTGCCTATTATGACTACCAAGGATCACTTGATGAGCAGGAGGAGAGAATTCAACTGCAGAAAGTTCTGGGGCCAAGTTGTAAGGTATATAGTAGAGTCTCCATCTAAAGAGCTATTTTCGTTGCTGCTGCTGTTGATGAAAGCAGTGTGAGCTATGCCAGTTATTTAAAGTGATTGCTTTGGGGATTCTATTTTAGGTGCTGGTACTCAGGAATCATGGAGTGGTAGCACTTGGAGAAACAGTTGAAGAAGCTTTTCATTATATTTTTAATGTGCAGATAGCCTGTGAGATTCAGGTAGGAAAACTTATTCCCCCGTTTTTATTGCTTCGTTATTTACCCATTTAGTTGGATTTTATGTTTACTTATTTCCAAAGCCCAATTGATTGGCAGGTTTTTATTTTGCTATTTAAGAGAATTTCTCCTCTACTTCACCGAGTTGGCAACCCTTTTTATTTATCTCTTGAATTGAAAATAGAAGGAAAGCAAATCAAAGTTCACATACACACAAATCTAAGTGTTATAAACATCATTTGTCCCACAGTCCTTCTTTATCTTTCACCCTCTAGTGGTAGTACTAATTGAGAAACAAAGGCAGAAACAAAGGCAGCCACAAATCATCAAAAGTCAGATGTAATGTGGTCACTTTTGTAAAGAAAAAAAAAAAAAAAAAAAGACTAGTGCCAGAAGTTTTGTGAACTCAGGCAGTTTCTAACAGTTCCACAACCTCTTTATTATAATAGGCTGGATGTTTACTAACTACTTTTTCCCACAGAGAAGCTGAGTACATGTAAATGCTCAAATTTCCCTCTTAAAGAAAATCAAGCAGATTCTCTTGAATCAAATGGTGGTAATTTAATTTATGGGAAGGGTCTCAAAAAAAGGAAAAAAAAATCTTCTACCAGCTTTAACTTAATAACCAACTTCTTTTTTATTTTAATGATCCCTTTTCTCAAATGGAGCTATGAAAAGTTATAATTAAGACAATTAACTGATGACTTCTGTCTGAATATTCTTAAATTCAAAGTGTAGTATCTCTATATTCCTTTAAACAAATGTTAACTGGATAGCCATGGGAAAACTTCTTTTTCAGATAGATGAAAAAGATACTTCACCTGCCTACTTGTTTAAGAGTATTGCTTTGCCTTTGCTATTAGTAGCCTGAACGAGTGTTGTAGCTACTTGCCAAATGAAAATTGTGCTTTTTTTGAAAGTAAAATACCTATTACAGTCTTTTCAGTTTTGAGTGTGTTTATTTTACCATTGATAACAGGTACGGGCCTTAGCAGGGGCAGGTGGAGTAGACAATCTACTTGTACTGGACCTTCAGAAGTATAAAGCTTTCACTCACACTGTAGCAGCATCTGGAGGAGGAGGTGTAAATATGGGTTCCCATCAGAAATGGAAGGTTGGCGAGGTTGAATTTGAAGGGCTGATGAGGACTCTGGACAATTTGGTAGGTGAAAATCAAACATAAACTTCATATTCAAAAGCAAAGACTTCCATCTCCCTTTGATTTTAGAACATGGCTCCTTACTCTTCCAGGACTACAGTCTGACCCTATGGACGTATTTCAGTATGATTTAACCACATTTTTAAGAATCAGCAAGATATGTAAATGTGATCTTTTTTCTTCAAGAATACAGTACATTGTTATTGATTATAGTCACCAAGTCTCACAATATATCTCTTGAACTTAATTCTCCTAATTGAAATTTCGTATTCTTTGCCTAACTTCTCCCCACCCCAATCCCCTTATATATACCATTCTACTCTGCTTCTATGAGTTCAGCATTTTTAGTTTCTGCATGCAGTTGTCTTTCTGTGCCTAGCTTATTTCTCTTACCATAATGTCCTCTAGGTTCATCCATATTGTTGCAAGTGACAGAATTTCTTTCTTTTTTAAGACTTTATAGTGTCCCATTGCGTATTTGTACTACATTTTCTTTATTCATTCATCCACTGATAGTTACACAGGTTGCTTCCCTATCTTAGCTGTTGTGATTGTTGCAATGAACATGGGAATGTAAATGTTTCTTCAGCACACTGATTTCAATTCCTTTGTATATCCAGTAGTGGGATTGCAGGATCATATAGTATTTTTATTTTTAATTTTATGAGAAACCACTATATTGTTTTCCATACACGGTTTACATTCCTAATAGATGTGGCTTTAATTTGCATTTGTCTGATCATTAGTGATATTGAGTGTTTTTTCAATACCTGTTGGCCATCTGAATGTTATCTTTTGAGAAATGTTTATTTAGGTCCTTTGCCCATTTTTCAATTGGGTTATTTCTTTTCTTGCTATTTAGTTGTTTTAGTTCATTATAAATTTTGGACATTAACCCCTTGTCATATGCATGGTTTGGAAGATGTCATTGTTTTTCCTTCTTCCATGAATGATCAGAAGGCAGAGTGCTTTTAGACCCAGAAATAAAGACTTAAATAAGCGCTGAGATTTGGTTTCCCCGAAAACCATATTGTCGGCAGGAAAATGTGTCTGGTCAGCAATTTAGAAATTACCTTTGTCAGAAAGAGTTGTTTGAGTGGAAATTGCAGTGCCAGCTGCAATCAGTTTTAACCAGATCTCGAAATTTGCTTAATTTCAACTCTAGTTTTATATGGAGGTTATATGGGGTTTAGAAAGATGTTTTCCCCTTTCTATGTTTTGTAACAAAGAAGTCTTTTTGAATCTTTGTTTAAAGAAATAGACTGCAAATGCTGTGTTGGTACAGGTTTGATTGCTTCAAATGTGGTTTTTTCCCCCTCCTTTAGGGGTATAGAACCGGCTATGCTTACAGGCATCCTCTCATCCGAGAGAAGCCTAGACATAAGAGTGATGTGGAAATCCCAGCAACTGTGACTGCTTTTTCCTTTGAAGATGATACAGTGCCACTCTCTCCTCTCAAATACATGGCACAGAGACAGCAGCGTGAAAAAACAAGATGGTTGAACTCACCAAATACTTATATGAAAGTGAATGTGCCTGAGGAGTCTCGAAATGGGGAAACCAGTCCCAGGACCAAAATCACAGTATGCCACTATTTTACATAGTTTGCCTTTTGAAGTATTTTGCCTAATTAACTCATGAATTGAATGTCCTATTAAATTATTAGGAAAGTATAACATAATGTTAAAAATAATATTGCTACCATTTACTAGGTATTAATTGTAAGGTACTACTACTCCAAGTGCCATTCAAGAATGATCTCATTTACTTCTCCTAATATGATTGAATGCTGTTTTTCTCCCTACTTTTCAGATGAGAAAACCAAGGCAAGAAGGACTAACTAATTGTTTTTTAATGATAAAGTTAGGGCTTGAATGCCAACCATCTGACACAAGTCTAGCCTTACCAACTACATGATACTGCTGTGTAGTTTGTCTTATACCTGTGAATCAGAACTATAAAAGTTATAAACACCAAATCATTCCAGAGTTGCATGAATTACTATACTTTGTTACCATTAGGCAATATCTTGTAGTTAGAGAAATGGGTTATTTTCTTTTTTAGAATTTTGTTTCAGATTTGGTTTTTGGTGGAGTACTTACCACCAAATTTTCTCTAGCTGTTCAATATTAGTTCATCCTGTCATATGAATCAGTGACATTCAATATGGAAAAGCCTACATAGGCATCAAAGGGTTTTTTCCCCTGGCCTATAAGATTTTTTTGTCTCCAGTAAAAGAACATAATTAAATGCATAAGTTCTCCAGAACTCACTTTATTGGCAGAGACTGGTGGTCAGCCATAATTACTCTTGTTAAATATTAGCTTTTTCTATGGGTCATAGTGTGGAATAAATGAGAATTAGTTAAGGTCCTTCCAACCCTATGGTTCTATTGTGTTGTGTACTACAAGATCACACCATCATAAAATGCTGATTACGGGCTTGCCTTTTTCTGTTAGCCAAAACATAAGAAGCAAGGTCTGGAAAACTATATCTTAAGAGATTGGCTTGAGTCCTTTTCAGTGACTTCTTGACCATCCTCATCTGATGAAATTCAGTTCAAGAGACAGAACTCTGAGTGTGAGTTAAGACAAGATCACACTCTGGAAATAGTTTCTGCATTGTGTTTTTAGGTATCAAGAGGAGAAAGTTCATTTAGCAGTGTAATTGAGTATTAATGTGAATAGTAACAGCATTTGTTCGCTATTTTTTTTTTTAAACTGAAGTGAATGCTTTTGTGAGCTTTTTTCCTAACTGATATGTGGTATAAATCAATTGACTACTAAGATACTGCTTAGTGAAATTCTTCAAAAGATTGGTGATATATGCCTCCCATGAGACTATTAACAGTTATTGAGCAGCTGCAATTATCTCCTTAATACTTAGAAGCTTCATTCTAAGAAATTTTTTATTCTTTAGTGGATGAAGGCAGAGGATTCCTCCAAAGTTAGTAGTGGAACACCTATCAAAATTGAAGATCCCAATCAGTTCATTCCTCTAAACACAAACCCAAATGAGGTACTAGAAAAGAGAAATAAGGTAAGATGTGGTCCTGATTGAATATAATTAGTAACAAATATAGGAATACAGAAAAAAATTTGACTCAGTAATTATAGCTTATATTGAATACCTGCAGCCCTGTGCTAGTCATTGCTGAACATAAGGAAGAAGTATTAAACGTATTTCTGCCTTGGACTGTGTTGGCATTAAAGGGAAAGTGCAGTTCTCTAACTGTATAAAATGATAGGAAATCACCAGCCAAGAGGGTAACAGAGAATGATGTGAGGGTTAGGATGGTGAAAGGGATCTTCACAGAGGTTGGCATCGAAGAGACTTAGTAAGAAGTTTCCAATAATAAGCTTTTAGGAAAAGAGAAGGCAAAGGTCATCTGCACTGTTGCTCCCAAGAACTTGTTATTGTTTCAATTCAGATTCGAGAACAAAACCGATATGACTTGAAAACTGCAGGACCACAGTCTCAGCTGCTGGCTGGAATTGTTGTGGATAAGCCTCCTTCTGTAAGTCTGAAGAACTATGATTTTTGTTTTTGATCTGCTACATATTTTTTTTTTGTTTTTTAAATAGGAACATTTTTACTAAGGTTAATTTGAGTACAAGTTAAAAAGTCAAGTAATCCATAAGACTTACAATTCCAGGGGCAAGCACTTTCTGTTCTTTTAGCATTTACCTTCCTGTTTCTAAATAGCATCTTTATTCTGCTTTCTCTTAAGTTTATCAGTTTTTAAACCTTGAGTATATTTCATCAAATTTCAAATAGCATTACTTTGTATATCATAAGAGAGAAAAAACACTGCTAATTATATTGTAGGAAGCCATAAAATTTTAAGGTAATTCCCATTTCAGAGAAGGAAACTTTATCTTAAAAACTGTAGTTACTGGCTGGGTGTGGTAGTGCACACCTGTGATTCTAGCTACTCAGAAGTCTGAGGCAGGAGAACCCCAAGTCAAAGACCAGCCTCTGCAACTTAGTGAGACCCTGTCTAAAAAAGTACTGGCAATGTGACTGTGTTGTCAAGTGCCCAGGGGCACTTATCTCCTTAATACTTAGAAGATAAATAAATAAAAAGTAGTTACACCTCTTATGGAAGATGAGGATTTAACCAGTTCACACAAAACTCTCTTTTTGCCCAAACCCCATTCTCCAGTGAAGTGAATAGGGAAGGGGACTTTGAAATGTGTTTTCTTCTTATTTTTAGGCTTTTAAATTATCCCCTATTTTCAGCTTTTCCTCACCTGCATCTTCTGTGATACCTGATGCCTCTGGTTTCTGAGCCTTACCAGACCTAAGCATGCTTCTCATTTGCACCATTCTTTGTAGGACTGAGACTTCAACCCTACCCATTCTTCTACCTATTGTTCATCTTCCAAACCTGAATTAACATTTCTCACACTTTATTTTCTCTTTTCCCCCACTGTTCCTTTACTGTCATGTAGATGAGGTTTGGGGGGGGGGGGGGGACCAGAAATAAATGCAGAAGTTCATTCTGCCAGATATCACTGAAAATCTTATTTATCTCTTTCTAGGAGAAAATTACTAAAAATTTGTTTTTATAGCAAATTTAAAGAAGTCCTATTTTCAATTTTATTTTTTATTTTTTGGTGGTGCTAGGGATTGAACCCAGGGCCTTGTGCATGTGAGGCAAGCACTCTACCAACTGAGCTATATCCTCAGTCCCATACATTTTCATTTTTTAAAGGCTTTTTTACAAAGGTTTTTGAAATGGAGCAATTATTGATTTCTTAGCTATGTGAGACTTATTAGAGCTTGTCTTAATTTTGTTTTATTAATGTATGTATTTTACCAAGGATTTGCACTTACCACTGAGCCACATCTCAGCCTGTTTTTTTATTTTTTATTTTGAGACAGGGTCTCACTAAATTGCATAGGGCCCTGCTAAGTTGCTGAGGCTGACTTTGAACCTGTGATCCTCCTGCCTGTCCATCTCCCGAGCTGCTAGAATTACAGGTGTGTGTTACCACACCTGGCTGTCTTAACAAATAAAGATTAGTAGTGTCTAGGAGTATAACTCAGTGGTAGAGCACTTATTTAACATGTACAAAGCAAAGCCCTGGTTTCAATCCTCAACACCACAAAAATTAATTAATTCACCTATACAAGCTTATCAAAGAAACATGCTGACAGTTTTAGTCCATTGAATCAGTAGTCCAGAGCATTAATCTAATTAAGAGTATTATAAACAAAGTTTGTTCATCATTTTTTATGATTATTGTGGAGTGGGGCATCACATTCATCATAAATACATTTATGTGTTTGTGTATATGAGGATATATAAATAAGTAGGTAGAAAGATATAAGTAAAATTCTTGGCAACGAGTCTGATTTTTTCCCTTTGTAAGACCATGCAATTTGAAGATGAGGATCATGGCCCACCAGCTCCTCCTAACCCATTCAGTCATCTCACAGAAGGAGAACTTGAAGAGTATAAGAAGACAATCGAACGGAAACAGCAAGGCCTGGAAGGTTAGTTGACTTGGGGATTAAGCATAGGATAACCACACACTGATAACAGGAGAGCCACTCAAATTGGATTAAAATGTTCAAATAGTTTTGAACATTTCATAGTATATGGCTTTTTTAAAACTTTTGTTTTGAAATTATTATAGATTCACAGGTATGTGGTTTTAGTGGTTTATAAAATCTCCCTGAGTATCTGAAGGTACCAGCATGGTCATTTCAAAATCAAAATTTAAAATAAATTGGTAGAAGTTATGTGATTTTTCTTAAGTGCATGAACACTCACTCTAGCACAGTTCAGTCTTTCTGACTTTGAAACTCTTAGTAGGCAGTCTGTTAGTATTATAGTAAGAATTATTCATTAAAACAGTCTAGCTAATTTTTTTTTAGCAGGGGTTCTCAATCTTGGGTTCTTGGATAAGCTTCAGATAGTCTTGTGAGCCACCTGGAAAGCAAATGATTAATTGTGTATGATATAGGAGTTTAGCCTGGAGGAGTAAGAAGTTTGTGACCCTAAAAGAGGGTAAAAGATTCTGCTTTAACTCATTCACAGCATAGTTTTACCCAAAGCAGAACAGAAGCCAATAGGTAAAGACTTTTTGTCCATGTTAGATATCCTATAGGAAGAGCTAATGATGACATCTGGATCATTCAAGGAAGAACCATTTTCATCACTGTTATAGTGCCTTTGTCAAAAAATCAAATCTTCCTAACTCAATAATGTACTCACACTAAATGTTCTAAGTGGTATATTGAACTTGTTTATGCTGATGTAAGGATAGAAGCTACTGCTATTTGGGGTCTTTTGTAAAATGTCCTCTTTAATTTCTCATTTTTTGAAAGCCTAAAGATGCCAGGTAACAAATACTGCACTCTAAAACCATCACCTTTTATATCTACCTTTGTAAATAGTTTCTTCCACATTCATTATGACCTCCTGAATTAGCTCACTAATATTGCTCTGACAGAAATCACTAATTGGATATTGTTCAAAAATCAGTGAAGCATTCTACCTCATTAATGTAGCAGCATTGGTGAGGCTTCATTGTTCTTTGCATCTGGCTGCTCAGTATATTTTGGTTTTCTAACATTAACAAAAGCTAAATGCACACACATTATTTGCCTGGGCTGCCAGTAGCCATGCTTCCTTTGTAACCCTATATGTAAAATTACTATTAGTGGCAGAAAGTTTTAATACATTAATCACCTCTTAGTGCCTCATTATGGATAGATGGAATAACCGTTAGCATGCAGACTCAGCTCAGAGCTGAAGAATTTCTCATCTCTGTGTATGCAGATATTTGATGTATGCACTAACCTCCCTGAACTCTTATGCTTCTTTATTTTGTTTGCATGGCTTTTAACTAAACTCTCATCCAACAGATGCTGAGCAGGAATTACTCTCAGATGACGCTTCATCTGTTTCACAAATTCAGTCTCAAACTCAGTCACCGCAAAATGTCCCTGAAAAATTAGAAGGTATTCAATGTAATTTCCCATAGCATTCACTGAGTAGTCTTGAGAGTACACCCCTGTCATTTGTTTTCATGTAAGAAATTGAACTGATCATGGTAAATTCACCATGGATTTTAGCTAAAATATCACAGTAATTTTATATTATTTACTAAATGAGGTGCTACTTTTGTTCAGCCATTGATACTTTAATCTGAATTTTGGCAACCCATCATTCTTAAGAATTTGTGGAATTAAAATTGGCTTGTCATGCATCTTCCAATGAACAGCATGAAATCTTTTTCAGTTTTGATTGCCAAATGACCCCAAAACTAAATAAAAATATTTAAGTTGTCTTCCTCCTTTATACTAACTTAAAATGAAACTATAACAGTTATGTATTAAACCAGAATTATCTAGCTTTTACTTTTTGGATGAACAACTTTGTTCTCCACCCCTTTATATCATTTAAGAAAATTAGCTTCATGCTAATAGAGCCATGTTTATTAAAATAATCATCTGTCTTCATCAGAATTAAAGTAATTTCTTAATACGTTGCTAAAATCTTTCAGTTTTGCAAATTAACACAGAAATGTTAACTATGTAAAATAACCCCCAAAAACCCCTCCCCTTTTGTAGAAAACCATGATCTATTTTCCAAGAGCTTCATCTCCATGGAAGTGCCTGTCATGGTAGTAAATGGCAAGGATGATATGCATGATGTTGAAGATGAGCTTGCTAAGCGAGTGAGTAGATTAACTACAAGCACCACCATAGAAAACATCGAGATTACCATTAAGTCTCCAGAAAAAATTGAAGAAGTCCTGTCACCTGATGGCTCTCCTTCAAAATCACCATCCAAGAAAAAGAAGAAATTCCGTACTCCTTCTTTTCTGAAAAAGAACAAAAAAAAGGAGAAAGTTGAAGCCTAAATAAAATCTTTTTTATAATTTTTATTACTATAGTGTGACATTGCACATTTAAATACCACATTTAAGTTGATCATTAATATACAGTGGTAGAACAGATTTGGGGGTATGGAGCAAACTGGACTTTAAGAACTGGAAAGAGGTTTTACTAAAAGAAAAACATTATGAAAAAACTTTCAAATTCATCTCTTATATGTCCAAAAATGACTGAATTTTTTAAAAGTTGATAGTTTTAATTAGCTCTGCCCTCTTGAAGAAGTATTTTAACTCACCGTAAACAGATATCTGTCTGATTTATTTCAGACCTTTTGGGTAATATCTGTTGGAAAGAAATTGCCAATGAACAAGTGAGAATTTTTATTTCTCAACACCTGCTTCACTTGGTAATCAGATTATAATTTTTTACCATGATTATTGACTATATCTTTTGGGTCCCCATTATTTCAATGGGCATTAACAGAATGCTTTAAAAGCTTCTAAGACAAGAATCTATAGCATTAGTATACACTGGCACATAATTTTTTAAAAAGTTTTAAAGAAAAGATTCATTTGAAATTTTATTCATAGTATAAAATTTCCTCACCTGAAATAACTTTGTTTGCCAAAAAAGTCATTTTAATAAACTATAATTTTTGAAAACTTCCTTTTTTATTAGTTTAGAAAGCCCCTTATTTTTCAAAAAAGGGGATTTTATACACATAACATGGGTTATTTAGTTTAACTCTGGCAAAAACGATTTTTGTATGTTGAGATATTTGTATACCATTCAGTATAAAAGTGTCATATGCATATTAGCCAATCATTTAACAGTAGAGCCTATTTGAGACTGCTTGGTACTGAGTATACTTAAATATAATTCAAGAATCCAGGGATTTGGTATCAAACGGGGATTAGAGCATATAAAGGTATATCTAGATTCATATTTGAACCTTATAATGTATTTTTCTCTTAGTATTGCTAATGAATGAAGAAAATCTTGTAAAAGTAACCAAATGAAAAGAATGAAAGGGAAAGTGAAAAATTAAGGGAACGATAGGTGGGATGTGAAAAGAATTCTAGTGTAAGAATGATTCATATTCACAATGGTATATATAGTGATTTATTGGAAATAGGTCCCAAATTTCTAAAATCCTGCTTCTCTGCCAAAATCAATGTGTTGGTTGATATTTGAGTTTTAAAAAGGACAAATCCTTCTAACATGTGTACCTTTAGAGAGCAGCAGTAGAAGAAATCAGTAAGTCCAATCTCACCACTGAAAAAACTACTACTTTTTGATTTTTACAAACCTTTTTTATCTTTTCATTTAACTTTCTTTCTAATGTAAATACAAATTTAAACCTAGACTTAATATAGTTTTCCCAAGTGATGTCACAAATCTGTAAAATCAATGATCCAAAACAGTCAGTGGGTAAAAGTAATCCAAAGTGTTCTGGAAGGTAAGCTGGCATGTTCAAAATCACATTGACTACAGTGTGTTCTGGGCTGGTTCTGTGTGAGTGTGAAGCAGAATTGAAACAAAACCTGGAAATGTCATTCTAGATCTCACTAACTACTGGAATCAGTGTTCTAATCTCTTAGTGGAAACTTTCAGTTGCTTAACTGTGTATTTGAGGATTGTTTTATGTTCTACATCATTTGTTGTATTACAACATATGTAGAAACAGTAACCTGTGAACTATGCTTTTCCATAACTTTTTAAAAATATATATATCTAAATGAATGAAGTGTGCATAAATATTTTTTAAATGCCACAGTAAACTATTGCACCTTTTGCTAATGCCTCTATTTACTTGCTTTGGCATATGGATGAGCCAATGAACCTGTGTCCTGTGGAAAAATGTATAAATGTTATCTGATATTTCTCTTAGATGTTATGCTAATTAATGTTAAATCACAAATAAACAGTGTATTTTAAATATATGGATTTGGTATCACAGGGTTTCCATTCGGGATTGCTTACTTAGCTGCATTTTGTGGTCTGTTGGTAATTGTATTTTCAAATTAGTTGAAAATTTATATATAAAACATAGATATATGAGACCTTCCTCATTTCAGCTCATTTAGACAGAAATATTCCCTAAGGAACCTTTTTTTTTTTTCCTATTTTTTGATAGGCATGGTGGCCTTAGGATCCTGATAATCTCAATTCTACTATTCATATTCATCAATGTAGAATAGAAGATGTTGTAAGATAGGAATTCAGTGTATACATTACCTGTCTTTGACTTTGAATTTATTATATAAATAATATTTTTAAAAATAGCAGAAAGACTAGAAAGTAATTTACCATTCCACTATATTTACATTGAAAATACTCTTCATTGCCTTTCACCTCTCATCCAGTTATATGTGTATTTTCTATGTTGACAATTGTGGTGTTAATGTGATTTTTGGGTTCCTTTTCTACTTAATGTAAAATAACCCACCCTAGATTTTTAAACTAAAATCCCTTACGTGAATAATTTCATGTGATTTTTTTTTCCTACCCTGTCCTATAAATAGAGTGCAAGGGGGAAAATTATGTTAATTGAGGGTTCTGGTTAATCGAAGTTTTTAACTATAATTACTATTATAAAAATGAAGGGCTTGGGCAAAGAAGAATAGATTCATAGTCTTGGGCATATTTAATTATTACCTTGGCTTGTAAATAACCCTGTGGTGAAAAATTGCTGTTTTAGAAAGATGCTCATTTCAGAATTGCCTTCCATAAAGTAACAAAGACCATTATCTTCAGTTCTCCCTTGAGAATCAATGTAATTTGAGAAGCAGTCACTTACGCCCTTTCTTTTATCAGTATTTTCATTCAGCAGGAAATAAAGAGAACTGAATGGGTAAAATTGTGGCCACACTGGTTTATTTTAACATTTGCCCCTTTTTTAACATAAGCAGAAACACATTAAGGCAAACTGGTTTGGTTTTAGAAGCTGTGTGCATAATCCAAGTTGCAATCTTGGCCAAACTGGGAGTTTAAGAACAGTCTTCTTTGTGGCCACTAGAGGGTGTAATAGACCTAATAATCCTCTATGCTTCCAGTCCTTGCAGTCAGCTTCCCTTTTCTTGGTCTGTAGGCACCATGTTCGTTGTGAAACACTCAGAACTTGGAAGACATTTCCTTTGTTGCTTATTCTCCTCACTAGACTGCCTGAACCTTGCCATCTCATCATGTCCCATTTCACCAACACAGGTATCACCTGGCAGTGACTATGGAGAACACATTGAAAATGTTTAAGGTGTGGTCTCAGAAAAAACTGAGAGGGAGCACCTCCTTGGAGGTTTCATGCCTGTGTATAGCAATATAAGCTTCCTTTGATAATTGTCATCTTTTTGACTGAGGACCTAGTTGATAGTCTCCCCCCTCCCCGCCCCTGGTGCCCTCCCCCCCCCCATATGCTTTCTGTATAGCAAAGATAATGCTGTGCTTTTCATATATTAACTCATTTGCCCTTCCCACCATCCCAGTAAAGTAGATGATATTAACCCCATTTTATACATGATGAAACCAAGTTTGAAAAGTTTGAAGATGAAAAGGAGGTGTTGGTATTTTACCCATAGATTAAGACTTCCAAAATCACCAGTGCCATCTGTATGATAGTCTCTTTGTGGCTCCAGTGTACATTTTTGTGGTTTCTTAAGGAGAGAGTTCCCTTAGTTTGAACTAAGCTATGGTGAACTCATGTTTTTATACAAGTAGATTCAAGATAAAACATTGACTTTTGATTTGGAAGAATTTTCCCCTGCAATGAATCACCCCTAGAATGAAGAAATGAAATGACTATGGTGACAGCATCCTTAGGATAAAAAAGCAGCTTTTCTCCACTGCATCTATAAAACATGGGATCTGTAACCTTTGTTTAAGAGGTGGCAAAGACTTGGAAAGAAGTCCTTTTTAAAAAAAAAAAAACAATATTGGCAGCAGGGGAGACATCTGAAGGAAAGCCTGAAAACCTGAGAAGATAATTTAGCCATAGTAGTTTTAAAAGATCAGAAGTGACTGTAGCTAAGTGAGTATAATTAAGATGGTCTTTTTCAGAGAAACACCCAGTGTACATGGTGGAGTTACAAGAATAAGTTTTAAGGAACTTTAGAGGAAAAAAAATTCTCATAGTTCAAAGTGGTTTCTGAGATGACCATTAGGGGGCAATACTGGGTCCAAGTTTAATTTTAGTTAATTGAGGAAACTTTCTTCATAATATCTTTTTGAGTTTGATTTAGAACTTCAGTCTGATTATACATTGCTAGGTGTACTGTCTGAAGTTGAGGGAAGTTTATAGATGTCAAATTACTTCATTTGTTTCTTACAGCAAAGTTATCTGTTTTTCAACTCGTGAAGAATTAATTCAAGGATTAATTATTAATTAATTCAGGATTCAAGCAAAGGACTTCAGAGTTTGCATCTCATGCTTTTCTACTATACAGCAGTCTCCTTCAGAGACCCGTTGGATCAGAACCTAAGAATAGGTAGACAGTTTTCCAGAACTTCCTGAAAACTAATATCTAGAATTTTATGATGGGAATAAAGAGAAATGCATTGCCAGATCAAGCCTGTATATTATTTATAAGTAATTATTTACTTAAAATTTAAAGTTAAGATTCTCCATGAGAATCTTTAATATTGTCTTATTAATCAACATGCTGAGTTTTTACTATTAGAACCAGTAACTTTTTTAAAATATAATTTATACCTTAAATGACAAACTGGCAAATTTTGATTCTCCTAAGTCTTGACATCAAAGCTTGGTGAAGGTTATTGATTGTACTGATTTTGTTTTTAGGTCTTATTTCTACACAGACTACCTTTAGGTTTTGTCATCCTCCAGAGCCAGTGTTGATTTTGCTTACAATTCAAGAAAATCCCTTATTTTCAGCCCCAGATAACTACAATCACTAGGCAAAATACTGGTTCCCTGCTAAACTACATGCCTTAAAATCAGCATTGGTTTTAGTCACCAAATTTGGATATGCATTGAATATTCTAAGAAATTATTCTGAGATTTTTTAAATTTATTTTTGAAGTAGGAATTAATATATACTACAAACCTGTAGCATCCAGTGAACAGACATTTAGGCAAGATTTTTCTTCATTATTAGACTGCCCCTTGAAAAGAACTCAAATCATGAGTCCTGTAGAAAAACTACTATGGAATGTTAGCTAATTGAATTTCTTAGACCAAACAGTGTCCCTTCAGGTTGATATTTAGATGTGAAATTTTCAAGAGAAAAGGATTTCTCAAAGCAATGTAATATACCCCAACAGATGGGGATGGAAATGAAGAAATATATGCAAGAGTTAGAGTGGACTTTGTGAGCATCCCTGAGGGATTCTTGACTTTTCTGGGTTAAAAAAAAAAGTAATGACAGTCCCAGTCTGGCCCTGAAGCTATAGTGCTTCTAGCCCCTTTTGATAATTTGCCAGCCATGTTCTGTCCTTACCTAAAGTAGGAGCATTTTATTTTGCAGACAGAGTCTAAAACAACAAATTGTTTTTCCGGAAGCAGTCATTTCTGAAGATTCTCAACATGTAGGAGCTGTGGAGGAAGTAGTTGCGCTCTATACCTCGCCCCTTTCCTGTTGAGTAAGACTCTGAGGGTTAGATTGCAGTGGTGACTGGTGTGATAGACTTTGACTTCAGGATAGATGACCTCTTCAGTTTTATGAGAGAACATGTAGATACAGCGACTTGTTGGCAGGCACAGGCAAACTCTTCCAAGGGTGTTTACTGGACTAACAAGTTAAGGTTAAACATTACTTCCTACCTGGTTTCTATTTTGGAAATGTTGGCTTCAGTTGTTTCAACTGAAAGAAAGGTCATTTGAGGTTAAGACACCCAGGAATATATCCCAAGTATTACCTGCAGGTCCTCAGGGGGATAGAGAGGGGTTCCCATTGCACCTGGATTTTTCTGTGTGGTAAACATTTTAAATTAGTTTAAAAGATATTGTGTGACAAATTGATACTTTCTTTGAAATATCTTTCAAACAGTTTTATATTTCAGGATTATATATGAAATTACTTCATATATAGTTATGGTCTCTTTTGACCTTTAGGTTAATATTGAGCAAGAGAGTATGCACACACACTTGCCAAAGTCAAGCTGAGCATGGCTCAGTTAACTGCAGAGCAGGGCAGACTGGGTGGGGCAAGCTCTGGCATTCTTCCCACTCACTGAGCAAAGCCAGGTGTTAGAAGGACAACTCAAAATGAAGAAGCTAGTAGCAAGTCCAGCCCAGCAGGTGAAGCATGGAGGACATGGCAGTCCACCAAAGCACAGTCTGGAAAAGTGGTATACATCAGGGAAGCGTAAGCCCCATCAGGAAAGCAGGACAGCAAAAGTCCTAAAGGATACATAGAAGCCCCAGCCACAGGCCAGGCTTCTAGAGCAGCGCTTCCTCCACTTCCTGTGGCGTAATGGCAAGATCAACGCAGGACTTCAGGCTTATGGGGACAAGTATAGTTTGCAAGTATAGTTTCCTATATCTTCAAGATAGGAATTCAGATGTAAGAAAAGTGACAGATGGGTGGGGATTCTATTATCAGAACTGAGGTACAAGATCCTGCTGAGAATTCCAGGAACTAGGCCGTGCTCAGAGCCAAGACAAGCCCCTGACTGGTCTGGTGGCAAGCTTGGCAGAGGCCAGAGCTACCTCAGTTTGTCCAGCTTCAGTCAGGTCCTGGAGACTGCAGCCAGGTGAGCAGGTCATAGGACTGCAGCTGTTGGGTAAAAGAAGCACTGCAAAAACAGGAAGGGCCTGACCTGGCTTTCATAATAGAAGCAGTCAGGGTGATGAGACCCAGCCATGTAAGAAAGCTTGGGCGGGTGGGGGGGGGGGGTTGCTATTTTGCATCAGAACCTGGTAGGAGCTCTAGCAAAGACTATGAGCAAGGGCAAAGTGCTACCAAAGCTCTACAGTGACGATGACT